TATATTGCACTATATATATATGTTGAATCAGAAAGTACTTGATGTTTAGGAGTTATAATATTGAAGTGGAAAAGTGGAAAAGGATACATACACAAAGGAAGCAAACTAATTCTTTTTAAGGCAATGAATGGTATAATTATTTTTTTGAGTTATTTTAATTATTGATCATTAGATATATTAAGTTTTTTTTTAGAATAAACTTTTATAATTATATGCACATTTAATTAATAGATAATAATCAAGAAGTGAAGTGGAGTAACTTATTTCGGAGATCTCTTTAAATCAATGAGAGTAATATTTTCTTATATATATTAAATTTAAATTTTATTAAATAATGATTTTTTTAATGTTTTAAATATTTATTTTATGCATGTTGTAGCTTACGAATTAAAAGAAATGAATGAGAAATTGAAAAATGAATGTTTAATGACTTTAAAAGGAGATAATTTAAGGGAAATGAAATAATTCATACAAGATTACCCCCATATGGTATTGGCAAGAGATGAAATGTACTATGCATGTTAAAAGAAATTTGAGTACAACTTGAGGGTACCTTCGGGTACAATTTTGAGGGTGTATTCAAACATATGATGCATTCGGGCACGTTCTTAAGGATACCTTTGGTTATGACGGTAATCCTGTGATGATTGTTAAAGAGTTTAAATTGATAAATATTTAAAGTGAAACGGGAAGGGATAATCTAAAGTTTTAAAGAAATGAATTGTATTTTCTTTTGGTCATTCATACTTAACATATCATAAGAATTTAATGCATATTAGATTATAATTACTCACTAAGGGTCTGTTTAGATTAGCTTATCTGTTAAGTCTGTGTTTTCAAAATGCCACCATACCATTTGTTTTCTCTATCTTCGTTGTGTTTTGTGATACACTGGTTTTGTTTTGTCATAAACACGAGCTGCAAGTTCAACCCTGAGGTTTGCGTTTGGAAGAATTTTCTTACTTCTCTGTCCTCCCGTCGTGCTTGCCCTCATCCTGTGCTCTAGGTGTCTCTTCAATCCTCTCCTCTGCCCTCATATCATGGCTTCTATCGCTAAACAAGGGCTCCCTCTCATGCGCCTCTGTCAAGCGTCTCTGAGGTTTGCGTTTGGAAGAACCTCATATCATGGCTTCTATCGCAAAACAAGGGCTCCCTCTCATGCGCCTCTGTCAAGCGTCTCTTGACTATTGCATTTCTCCTCCTCTTTGCGATCTGTGGTTGTGGTGCTCTATAAGTAATATCGTTTCCTTCCTTGTGGTGATTTTCGATGGAATGGTTTTTCTGTGCTTTTATTTGGCATTCTCCTTTGTTGTGAGAAGTTTGCAGTGCTCTTAGAGTAATATTATGCTCTTTCTTGTGGTGAATTTCGAAAGAATAGCTTTTTTCTGTGAGTTTTTTCCTTTCTCCTTTTTTTGTGCTTTCTCTCTGAACTGTTGCCTTTGGATGGGTGTTAGATGTTAGACTTAGGTGTTGGACTTTGTCGGCACTATTTTTGGTGTGGGGTTTG